AATGAACTGGAATCTATTCTGACAATAGGATCAACCAAATTGTTAATGATAGTTCCATCCGCAGAACCACTGCTGCAGTTCCACTGTCTTTAAATTATATCCCGAACTATAACAGTGCAGAGGTATGGCAAAAGTGTTACAAGATATATTTGAGGATGATAAGGAACTGCTGATGTCACTAAGGGCAGCATTTGACCCATAAAACATTTATTACTGGTGATACCTGTGACAGCAAGGACACAGTTCAAATTTAAGATACAATTCTGAGTTTGCTGGTAATTGTAACAGATATCTTTTCACTTGTCAACTGTGTCAAAATTTTTAGATTCTAAGTGTTGCTATATGCTGTAGAATATCCAAGATATTGTTGGTAAACAAATCAGTATCATGATAGAATCATAGAAGACTAGAACTGGAAGGGACCTCGAGGTCTCATTGAGTACAGTCCGCTGCCCTCATGGCAGGACCCAGTAACATCTAGACCATACCTGATAGATGTCTATCTAACCTGCTCATAAATATCTGCAGAGATGGAGATTCCACAACCTTCCTAGGCAACTTAAGCCGGTATTTAACCCGTTAGGAAGTTTTCCCTAATGTCCAATCTAAACCTCACTTGCTACAGTTTAAACCCCTTGCTTCTTGTTTTATCCTCAGGGGTCAAGGAGAACAATTTTTCTCCCTCTTCCTTGTGACACCCTTTTAGATACCTGAAAACTGCTATCATGTCCCCTCTCAGTCTTCTCCTTTCCAAATTAAACAAGCTCAATTCTTTCAGTCTTCCTTTGTAGATCATGTTCTCTAGACCTTTAATCATTCTTGCTGTTCTTATCTGGACCTTCTCCAATAGCTCCACATATTTCTTGAAATGTGGAGCCCAGAACTGGACAAAATACTCCAACTGAGGCCTAATAGGCGCAGAGCAGAGAGGAAGAATGACTTCTCGTGTCTTGCTTACAACACTCCTGTTAATGCATCCCAGAATCATGTTTGCTTTTTTTGCAACAGCATCGCACTGTTGACTCTCATTTAGCTTATGGTCCACAATGACCCCTAGATCCTTTTCTGCAGTACTCCTTCCTAGACAGTCGCTTCCCATTCTGAATGTGCAAAATGGATTGTTCCTTCCTAAATGGAGTGCTTTGCAGTTGTCCTTATTAAACTTCATCCTATTTTCCTCAGACTATTACTCCAGTTTGTACAGATCATTTTGAATTATTACCCTATCCTCCAAAGCAGTTACACCTCCCAGCTTCATATCATCTGCAAACTTAATAAGCATACTCTCTATGCCAATATTGAAATCGTTGATGAAGATATTCAACAGAACCGGTCCCAAAACAGTCCCCTGCAGATCCCCACTTGTTGTACCTTTCCAGAAGGATTGGGAACCGTTAATAACTACTCTCTGGGAACATTATTCAGCCAGTTATGCACCCACGTTATAGTATCTCCATCTAAGTTGTATTTGCCTAGTTTATTGATAAGAATATCATGCGAGACTGTATCAAATGCCTTACTACGGTCTTGGTCTACCATGTCCACTGCTTCTCCCTTATCCGGAGGACTCGTTATCCTATCAAACAAAGCTATTGCATTGGTTTGACATGACTTGTTCTTTACAAATCCATGCTGGATATTCCCTATCACCTTATTATCTTACAGATGTCTGCAGATTAATTTCTTAATTAGATGCTCCATTATCTTTCCTGGCACAGAACTTAAACTGACTGGTATATAGTTTCCTGAGTTGTTCTTATTTCCTTTTTTATAGATAGGCACTATATTTGCCCTTTTCCAGTGTTCTGGAATGTCTCCTGTCTTCCATGGTTTTGGAAAGATGATAGCTAAAGGCTCAGATACCTCCTTTAACAGCTACTTGAGTATTCTAGGATGCATTTCATCACGCCCTGATGACTTGCAGACATCTAACTTTTCTAAGTTATTTTTATTTTATCTTCTGTACCTACGCCATTTCCACTAGCATTCACTATGCTAGGCATTCGTTCATCAGACTTCTTGGTGAAACTAAATAGTCATTAAGCACCTCTGAAATTTCCAAGTTTCCTGTTACTATTTCTTCCTCCTCACTGAGAAATGGACCTTTAACTTGTTCTTGGTCTTCCTTTTGCTTCTAATATATTAATACAAAGTCTTCTTGTTTCCCTTTATGTCTATGGCTAGTTTGAGCTCATTTTGTGCCTTTGCCTATCTAATTTTGCCCCTGCATACCTGTATTGTTTGCTTAAACTCATCCTTTGTAATTTGTCCTACTTTCCACTTTTTAAATGACTTTTTTATTTTTAGATCATGCAAGATCTCCTGGTTAAGCCAAGGCAGTGTTTTGCCATACTTTCTATCTTTCCTACGCAGTGCAATAGCTTGCTTTTAGGCCCTTTAGGCCCTTTGAAAAAACTGCTAATTCCATAAAAAAATGATCAACAATACATATGGAATGCTCAAATTGCCAAGTAGAATATTTTTATTTTTTAGCATGCATGATTAATATGTTTTTATAAACACATTATATAGCTGGAACCATTGTAACTTTGTCCTCACATTTCGCAGCCTGGTAGGCTCAAATGAGGAAGAAAATATAGTATAAGAAGGTTTAAATGATGTGGGATTGATTTTAAAATGTTCTGATTAAATGGTGTAACATCATTTGATAATGCGACATTTATTGTACAAATACTTTATGAAACTAAAACAATGTTAAGTTTGCCTCAGATGATGCAAGTTTGAAGGGAAAAACCTCTCCAGAATTAAGATGGTATTAATAGTTAAAGATGTCAAGCTTCCATTGCAAGTCTAATTTTGACCATGCCTCTACTCTCCATTTGCCATCTGCCAAAACAATCACTTGAAATTCCTTGTATATAGTCCTTTCCAGGGGACAACTTTTCTATACAATGTGGGGGTAGTCAGTCAAAGTGGTAGTTACTCAAATAAAAAAATTAGTGTTACACTTTTATAAAGGAGCTTTTGGTTTAAGGAGCAGGGCTCACCTGAGATTTTCAATGATACCACAGACAATGAAGTATAAATGAAATTATCCCCCACGTTTCAATAAACTATTTCCAAAGCATGCCTTGCATATTCATTCAAATCTTACAGTGCTCATCATAAAAGAAAACTATAAAACCTTTTGAATTTCTATTACCACTACTTAGTTCATTGTACATATTAACTGTAGTAATACACAGAGGTTAAATGCATAAACACTGATAAAATACATTTGCTTACACTATTATTTTTTTCCCCTCAAACAATTTATTTTCAAGAACAAGAAGCCTGAAGAATTGACATATGCAAAAGCAACCAAAAATGTTAATTATAGTTCCCAAACTGTCTTTAGAAATTTACATTTATTTTCTTATTACTATCATCACAATATCACTATTTATATTGCTAGATTTGTCTTTTAAGAAAAAGCTTTAAATAGTTAATTCTCCCCAAAATAGACTCTGCTGATACTTCAAGCAATAATGAAATCACCCAATCTCTGTTTAGTACTATTATGCATTATAGGTTTTCCATACATTTTTGTAATACACTCCAAAAAGAATTAAACATGTTTTCTACATTGATTTTATCCTTTTGAAAAATTGTTCATGAATTGTACTCAAAACAAACTAAAACCAATATCATGTTCTTGTTTATGTCAGTTTGTGCAGCAATATCAATTAACATCCCAACAATTAACTTAGAGAGATTAACTTAGCTTCCTGAGGTGGTGGCCCAGTGCTTTATCATAGCTATTAAAAAAAGTTCTGCAATTTGAGATGCCTCAGGTTGTAAACCTTTAGAGTCCGCTTTTCTGTTTTCCTGATACCGTTTCTCCCCTTGTCTGCTCTGGAGAATAGGAAGAATATCAGGGTCTCTGGAATAGCAGACTCCACAAGGGAAATGAAAGGAGGAATTTATGCACTGGTCTAGGAAGGGAGGGAAAAGAGTGGAGAACCCAGCCCTGTCTCCACGTCCAATCTCCCTATTTGCTTGCCTTCCTCTGTAGCACCGCTATTCCTGCCATGACACAAGTTGCTCACCTTATTCTAGTCATCTAGCTATTGCTAAATCCCAGTGATGCCCTCCTCTACACTTTTATTCTCTAGTCCCTCTGTCAAAGCCTATTTCCCATAAATACTTCATCTTGGTGTTCACCCAACTCCTGACATTTAGTAGGAACCTGCCCTTAAAGAGTTTCAGCTGACTGGGATGTTTCAGAGGCCACTTGTTTTGCACTCCATGTCATACGTAGGGTGACTCTGATGAATCAAAACTAATTTTACAACTAGTACTTCAGAACTTGAGCATTAAAGGCCTTGAGGATTAGGATCAATGACCTCCCAATATGTATCAGTATGCCCATTTTATTTCCATTATGACAGAAATGAGTGTTAATTGCCCTCACATCCTTTCGCTCCATAGCCTTCCCACCAAGTGTTTGAAAAATTATAAGACCCTGCTGATTTTCCTTTTACTCACTTGCAAAGGTGAGCAAGAGTTGTACTATAAAACATATGCCCGAGGAAATAGTTTAATGTGGTGCTGGGCAAGTTTTTTGCCTATACATTGTAGCCTGAGAACAGAAAGTTGGTATGGAAATCTTACCTAAAAATGCGATTGTTTATATTTTGTCATGTTACAGAATGACTTTTGCCATAGAAATTCCAAAATGGTTAAAGAATTGAATTTTTAGTTCTCCATCAAAATTACACTACAGAAACTTCTACTGTAAATGATTTTGCTGGTGAAAAGTTATGTGATTAACTGTTAACTTTATTTCAATGAGGAGATACAACAGACAGATGTAACAAGTGAGGCTCTGGAACTATAGCTATGTCAGCTGATACTTCACTGGAAAGTACTACCAATTTTCTTATTCAGTTTCAGAGTGTGGAAATAATTAGGCACAAGAACAAAAAAAGAGATAACACTTCAATGTTGATTACTAATGTAAGACAAGTGAAAAAAAGCAGCAAGAGGTTGGTACTCACCACAATTCCAAACTGTTCTGGTTCAGACAAATTACTATATTCACTCCTGAATTTGGATAGAGTATTCAGCTGCTCTTGTTCAGGAAGATGTTTTATTAAATTCTGAAAAAAAATATCAAATTATGAGCATTAGAAATCTCAGATTTTGCATTGTTCGTTACCAATTTTCATGATTATTATTTATATAGCAACAAACTATAGAATCAAATGTGAAAATAAGGTCCCTATGCTGAAGTCCTTACAATTTATATACATAGTACAGGTTAAATTTCCCTTAACTGGGACCATGGATGTTCCTGGACCACAGAACCCAGCGGCGGCGGGGAAGGAGCGCTGTAGGGGGACCTAGCTATTCAGCCAGGAGCCCAGTGTCGGAGGGGAGGTATGGATGGGCAGCACTGCAAGGAGTTCTGGCCCAAGTGGCCAGGCAGTAGCCGTGGAGCTCTGGCTGCGGCCAGGGAGCTCAGACCCCAGCAGCAGCCAGGGTGCTCTGCCCCAGCCCCAGCCATGGATCTTCAGCCATAACCCCATTCTGGCTCCAGTGGCCTGGAAGCTCCAGCCCCAGTGCCAGCCAGGAACCTCTGATCCAACCACAGAGCCAGGCCGTGGAGCTCTGGCATCAGCCACAGAGCCAGGTGGCTGCAGATCTCTGGCTGTGGTGCTCTGGCCCTGGCAGCAATGGGGCTGGTGGTATCTAGAGAGCACTGGCGGGCTGGGACAGCAGTGGGGGAGGCAGACTGGAGCTCTACCCCAGAGGCAGCACAGGTCATGAGGACAGGGACCTTCCCTGGTCCAGCAAAACCTCTCATTCGGAACCAGTCAGGTCCCGAAAGTGACAGACCAGCGAGGTCAACGTGTATACTGAAGAATGTGACTAAGAATGCACAGAGAAAGTTATTACACGGTGCTGGTTAGCACATTTTTTGTATGTTTTTTAATTCTTTTTTGAACACCACTTTCTAGGGAAGAACAAAGTTGATAAAATACATTTCCTGTGGATGCCTAATTTGAAAGAATGGTAGGTGCACTAGAAAAGCAATTTCAAATACATGATATCCAGTGAGTTAACACACTAATTATTCATCTCTAGAAAACGGAGTAATGATGGTACTTTTGTCATATATGAAAGTGAGTTGCACTTCCTTATTTCTATTTCTGCAATTTTGAACCATCACAAAATGCTTCAAAATCTGGGATGACTACGAGTTGCACATCAGTGACCTAAGACCTAAACAGTGCTCCAATTTGACTGTTGTAAAGTAACAAGTATTTGTAAAGTAGTACAACATATTAGTATCTCTCTCTCACTATGTTTTATAGAAACACACTTGCTATTTAAAAAAAATTTGAGAAAAAAGAGGAAGTTTGGATCTATTAAGATTGCAAAAACAAACATGAAACCATGTGCTTGGTGTAAAAGAATCGAGTGACGACTTCCTACGTTTGCAGAGCAGATAAAACAATAGCTCTAAAAGCTGACCCATTTATTTCAGTAACTCAGATGGACTAATAAAAGTTTATATGTCAGTACTATTTATTGGTTCACTGTATGAAAGGAAAAGTATCATAAATGGACAATATACAATCTTTTGTAAGGGATAGTTCATTTTGGCAACATAATAGGCTTGAGAGAATACCTCCCCAAATGCATCAAGAAGTAGTCACACATCTATACAGCAGGGTTAAAGCCAAACTAAGCTACACAACTTGAACTACTTCAATCGCATAGCTTAAGTTGAAACAGCTTATTTTGGCTTTGGTGCTGTCTACACAGCACGAAGTCTGAGAAAGAGCACTTCTTCCTCCGACTTCCATTGCTCCTTGTAAAATGAGGGTTACAGGAGTCACAGTAAGAAGTCCTCCAGCTCGACATAATTTTGACATAATGTCAAAAGAACTGCTTGTCGTGTAGACATACCCTCCGGGTGCAGACATACCCTCACGGCATCCAAGTTCTAGTGAGCAAAAGCCATCAGCAGTGCCCATGAATTTATCCTTACTTCAAAGAAAAGAAGTGAGTCCCAAATTGCCAAGAAGAGCCAAGAGAGCAGGGAGTTTGAAACTCTGAACAGCCTGAACTGAAACTCTGAAATGAGTTATGACTCATTTTGTCATTTCAAGTGGTTGATGGTCATTTTGTAGACACAATTGCAAAAGTAAAACTTTCTTTTCCTTCTCTTGACACCTGAACAAGAACTGTAATGATTTACAGGTCAGGGCACTGATATATTTTTGTGTCTGGCTCACAGCCTAATGCTTCAGTGAACAATAAATTAATTCATATTTAAAAACTACAAAACAGTCTTCAAATAGTACAGAATTGCACCTGATACTTATTTCTGTCTCCTAGCTCCTGAATCTTTGTAATATTTGTACCACACATATCAGAACCCAGACTACTTATGAAAATAAACATTGTTATTTACAAGCTTAATCAGTTGAATGTTTTGTCTAGGTTTATACTATACATAGCCCAGGCACACAGGTGATAAAAGCTTATTTTCTGGATAGATCATCCCAAATACCAATGATTTTGAATGCAAATGATGCACATACCAACTAACATATGGTTGAGGTCTGCAGTGACCAACAATATTTATTATCTCACTGCTGTTTTGTGCTATAATAATAGTAACAAGAAGTTTATATTTATATATATATATATATATATATATAAACTTATTGTTACTATTATTATAGCACAAAACAGCAGTGAGATAATAAATATTGTTGGTCACTGCTTTAAAACATAATTCTGCCCCATTGTAGTAAAAGGTATTGCCTATACTTTAGTTAATATGCTCATTGATGGGACTCAGCTGGTGAAATGCAGCTTACACTTAGCCAGCACATGGTAAAAGAAAAGGTTACTCACTTTAGTCTGGTAGGGCTCAGGGAAGAGCTCTTTCCGCTCTGCGTCAGCAGGCAGCCACTCTACGCCACTACACACCGCTCAATTCTTATGGGGAATCAGCTGTGGCTTCCAGCCCTAAGATTGACTACTATATGGGCTGTAGACTAACAGTCTTTGAACTCCCGCCCTGTTTGAGGGCAGGGCAAGCATTAACAAATCAAACAGTCCTAAGTCTGGGTCCCAGTGCAGGGCAGGCAGCAGGTTAATGAACAGTTATGAGGTCTGTCCCTGTTTCAGGACGGGGCAACAGGAAAACAGTTCTGAGCCTAGGCCCTTGTTCAGGACGGGGCACTAAGCAAACAGTTCTGTGCTCACTGTTACCTACCAGCTCTGTGTTCTTAGGGAACCAGAGCACGGCTATCTCTCAGTCTTGTGCTCTTGGGGAACCAGGGAGTGATACTCAGGGAAAACAGTCTCCCTCCCCCAGGCCTCTGCTTGAATCAAAGACAAAACAAAGAAAAGGCTGGGGGAGATGCACCTAAACTCCTTCAGACAAGGGTGATATAATTAAGGAAACACTCCAGCCTCATCTGCATTAAAGACAGAACAGAGAGATATCTCTATTAGCATACAGAATGGAGAAAAGATCTTCCAAAGCAGGAACCACACTGAACTATGGGATACCAAAAGCAGAGAAGCACTGCCTGATGGGAAATCTCTGCTCCAGGTGCTAATGAACCCAGGCCTGCTCACCCCCAAATTAGTCATTATCAGACCAATTCTAGTAATGGATCCTATTGACATCCAAAATACTGAAACTGCCTAGTTGCATTGTGAGCTCTTCCAAGGAACATCACCCATAGTCAGTCTCTATTATCTCACTCTCTTTACCCATAAACAAATCCAGTGTTCTCCTCGAACTGTTGTCCTAGCCCTACTCAAATGCCTACCCTTGCTCAAGAAAAATTGTTCTGATGCTTGGATTTAAACTGCATCAGTTCTATTGAGATTTCATGATCTTGTTGGGGGCTCTACTTGTCACCTGCCCTCTGGACCCCCAGCTACCATCACCATCTGGGAATCCTGATCAATGCAAGCTCCACGCAGTTCTTTCCCTCTCCCCCACTATCTCTCTCTAAGCACAGCCTCCGGACTCTACCCTATGTAAACTGCTATATGGTTTGCTAGCCCTAACATTTATAATCAGTGTCAATTGAGATTTAATATATTAACTGTTTTATGTGTTTGGCTCCTCATTGTTAAGCTGGTTGCTTATCTCTCTTTTTCTTTCTCTCTCAACACCACTGAGGAAGAGTGATGGTTTGGCTTCCCCATTCACTCTGCAACAACACACTGGCTGTGTCTACAAAGCGTGTCTATACTGGACACAGATGCTTTTGCGTAAAAGCACTTTTTGTGCAAAAGCATCCGTGCCAATCTAGACGCTCTTTTGCGGAAATACTTTTAACAGAAAAACTTTTCTGTTAAAAGTATTTCCGCAAAAGAGCGTCTAGATTGGCACGGATGCTTTTGCACAAAAAGTGCTTTTACGCAAAAGCATCTGTGTCCAGTATAGACACGCTTTTGCGCAAGAAAGCTCCGATGGCCATTTTAGCCATTGGGCTTTCTTGCACAAAAAAATTACGGTGCCTGTCTACACTGGCCCTCTTGCGCAAGTATTCTTGCACAAGAGGGCTTATCTCGGAGCGGGAGCATCAAAGTATTTGCGCAAGCAGCACTGAATTCTTACATTAGAACGTCAGTGCTCTTGTGCAAATTCAAGAGGCCAGTGTAGACAGCTGGCAAGTTGCCAGTCTAGACGCACTAGTCTTGTACGTAAGCTAAAGATCCCTATAGTGCCCAAAAATCCTTTGGGATGTGCTCATCACATTACCAGCCAATGACTGTGGTGTGAGTGTGGCGATAGGGAGGTATTGAACCTGGGGGCATATGAGGATGACAGCTTAAATTGCTGTTAAATCCAGCCCATTGAGTCTAAAGGCATGTGAGGGACAGCATGGTATTGCTATTAAACCCATCCTCCTGAGTCCAGGGAAATATAAGGGGTCAGCCTGTGAGTGCTGATTAACAAGTCCTCTCAGACATGCTCTGCTAGTAGGCGTGAGTGTCCATGTGTTTCTAAAGTGGGAAGAACCCTGTCCTGAGGAACATAGTTCCTGGAGTAAAGCTCCATTAGGAGGGGGAATTGGCAGCAAGGTGAATTCAGCTTCATATGAGAGCACAAGTA